TTGTAAATTGCAATTAAATATTTATAGGGCATTGGGGCGCCTTTAATCGGAGAGACTGGACACCGACCAAATGGCATTTTAAAAGTGGGATTAGTTTATGGGGATGCTTTTGTTCCCTATGTTTTCCTAATACTTCTGTGGGACTTTTGATCAATGTTACATGGCACGTGATAACGTAACAAAATTTTTTTCTTTTATTATTTGCTTTTGGCCTTTTTAATAAAAAAAATTGAAAAGTAAAAATAAAAATATCAACCAAACAAGTCTAAATTATAACTTTAACAATTGTCTAAATTCAATTTCTAATGGATTGAGATGTGGCAAAACTTTTTTTTTTTAAAAAATTACTATGTTAAACTGTATTTGTCCAATTTTATAATGTGTGCAGGGCCCTTTCGTATTACTATTATTTAATTATGTGTCTCGCTAATATATATATTTTAAATATATGTTATTTTTTAAATTAGTATTTTATTTTTTTGGATTTGGTTCGTTTAAAAACTCCTTTATTTTTGAAGTTAGATATATATATATATATATATTTACAATTTTACATGTTCAGGAAACTATAATTTATTTTATGATATTATTAGCATTAAAAATTTATAATTATAATCAATTATTGCATTTCATATTTAAGAAATTAATGACTTAAATTAACAAACATGTCAATTAATAACCCATGATAAATAGTTGGATAAATTTAATATAAAATTAGACAAAATTCATACAATTAAACTTGAATAAAAATCTCAAAATTTTCATCGAATTTGAAAATTTTTAGATCATATAAAAGTTTAATTAGTTGTATTGCATTTGTTTACAAAAAGAAATGTTAAATAACTAATTAATTATTAGGTGATTCGCTCCAAAGAAAAAAGTCCAATGAACTTCCAGAAAACAAAGCAATACTACGTGTTTCGATTTTCATAAAAAAATTCCACTTGGTAGAGTGATATTTTTTTTCTTTTATTTTTTAAAACCACACACTCAATTTTCACATGTTTATCGTATTTTTTTTTATATCTTTTGTTAGGATGGATTACGATTGGTTAATGGATTTCATTGTTTTTTTTTTTTTTTTTTCAAGCAAGCGGCGATGAATGAATCAAAATGTAGGAGGGTGGTAGCAGGTCTCTTTTATCATATCTGAATTTTATTAATTTTGACAATGAAAATCTAACCACTAAGAGAATGATAAACAAATTAAGTAGGAAATTCAAAGACAATTAACAAGGAAACTACTATGGATGCGATGCATACAATGGATCGGTATTTGTACCTATGTGACCTAAATTTTAGAATTCAACCAATTATAAACGACAATTATAATATAATAATTGAAATGATCATGATAAATAATTTTAGAATTCTCACTTGATAAATGATATGTAAATTTAATATAAATTTAATATGCCTTGACTCTAGAATGAAGAAGATTCCATTCAACTTTAAACTTTTATGTATCAAATAATAATAATAATAATAATAATAATATTCCTTGTTTGATTTTACCTTCATATGTGACACAACAAAGATATTTAATACTAACCATATTCTACTTTATGGTGTAATCTATTCTGATTTTAAATATTTTAGTGAATTAAAATTTTAAAAATGTATATATATATATATATATATAAGAAGAAATCATCTTGTATCATTGTAAAACTAAAATGTTTTACATTTTTTTAATAATTAATTTTAAAAAATTTAAAAAATGAAAGAGACAAGTCAAAAATTGAGCAGCAATAACTTTTTAGGGATAAAAGAAGTAATTTTTGAGGGAAAAATAGTAAAAAGTATTGGGGTTGGGGGAAACTCTTTGGTTGGGATCTAAAATAAATTGAGAATAATGTTGGTGATGTCTAATGTCAGGACAAGAAAAATCATTGATGTTGAATATTCGCATATTGTTAAATGATCTGCTACTTGTATAGAGAGTAGAAGGGGCCATGATCTGCTCGACAATGCGGCAAAAGAAGCACAAGCAAGGGGGAGAGGAGAGAAGGGATACTGCCAATGTCATGGCTCAGAAGCAACATACCAGCATCATCATCACCAGCAGCTCATTATTTGTCTTTCAAGTAAAAAATAATCAATCTCATCCCAATGCATGCGGTTGCGGCCCTTTTATCTACAATTTGACATATTTTCTGCTTGATTTGACGTTGCCCAACTTGTCCAAATTTATATTTATATATATATATATATATATTTAATTCAGTTTTCCAACTCCCAGTTGATACCAGCTCATAAGATGCATGCATGTATTACTGGCTTATCTCATCGTTATTATTAGGCCACCTCGCCAGTGCTCTTTCAACCACTTCAAAATCGGGAAAAGACTAGATGATTTTTAACGATAAGCGTGGACGGAATTGCATGTGACGGCCTGGAGGAATCGATGACAAAACTTATCACGTGACATGAATCTCAGATATAAAAATAATATTCTATCGTGTGGTTTTTACACTCAATTATAAATATAATAAATTTATTATAAAGAGAGAAATGAACAGACACAATGTTTTTTGAGTTAAATTTTAGATGAAGAATCGATTTAAAATCAATTAATATAATGAAGAAACTCTTGTTATATTTATGTGTTAGGGATGTATGCCTCCAATTTAACTCATATATGAGACTATTTCTTTTATTATTTAAGTATTCAAGTACTCAGTAAATCTATATAATACATGAAAAAAATCTCTTAGAAATTATCAAAACATCATTTCAATTGTTTGATAAAAAATTGTTACATAGTCAAATTGACTACTATATTTTTATATTATAATTACAAAAATATTTTTTTATAATTACTTATTATAATATTTTCAAATTATAATTATTAAAATATTCATCTTTTAATTGATCAAAATTAATATAATAATATCTTATTGTAATTATGAAAATACGTTCTCCCATAATTGATCAAAATTATTAAGTACTTTTTCTATCATAATTATAAAAATACCTTTATCAATGCTTAATAAAAAGTTGGCACGTGACATTTTGTTTCAAAATCAATAATATATAGTAAGATAATTTCATTATTAATTATTATAATAGCCTTTTATGTATTTGATATGATATGGACACGTATTAAAATTTATTGCAATATCTTTTTATCATAATTATAAAAATATTTTTCTTTTTATAATTAGCTAAAATTGTTATATTACTCTCTTACAACAATTACAAAAATACCTCTCATAATATAATTAGCTAAAATTATTACAATTCCTCTCTTATCAAAATTATGAAAATACCTTTATCATAATTAGCCAAAAATTATTATAATGTCTCTCATATCATAATTACGAAAATACTTTTATGAGTACTTCATAAAAAGTTGACATGTGATTTTTTTAAAATTATTATAATACATTTATTAAATGATATATATTAAATTTTAACATAATATAAAATTAACCACATATTAAATTATTAAAATATCATTGCCATTGCTTTATAAAAATTTGGCATGTGATATTTTATTTTAAAATTATTATAATACCCTTGTTATATTGCATATGAAATTTTAATATAATATAAAATTAATTACATATTAATTTACTAAAATATCTTTCCCATTATTTCATAACTTGACATGTGAAATTTTGTTTGAAATTTACTATAATACTCAGATTAAATTACTTCTTAAATGTTAATAACATATATAAAAACAATTTTCATAAAAATTACTTTAACGACCATTTGTTTATTTGATATGATGTTAACACATATCCAAGTATATTATAATGCTTTTTTATCATAATTACCAAAATATCCTTATCATGATTAGCTAAAATTATTATAATATCTTTCTATCATAATTATAAAAATGACCTTCTACTATAATTTGTTAGAATTACTTTAATACCTTTTTACCATAATTACCAAAATATTATTTTTATCATAATTAGTTAAAATTATTATAATGTTTCATATAGCATAATTACATAAATGCTCCAACGTGTCATTTGTTTCAAAATTACTATAATACTCTTATTAAATTACATATTAAATTTTAATACAATATAAAATTAATCATATATTAAATTACTAAAATGTCTTTATCATTGCATTATAGAATTTAGCATATTGCATTTTATTAAAAATAATCAAAACTAAATGATCAAGTGAGCTAAATAATTATAATTTTTGTTAAAATAAAAATTAAATAATTTTTATCTTAAAATGAAAAAAAAAAAAGCTAATCCCCGACATAGTGGGACGGCATACTAGTTAATATATTAAAACTTAATACTTGCTTCATAAAGTACTTGATTCGATTTTGAATGATTAAAACTAAATTAATCAAAATTAAAGCAAAACTGAGTACTTGTGTTATTTGAAATAATGCATTGAGATTTAAAAAAAAAAAGAATATAATTGGATTTAAATAGGTTTGTTGAGCATTATGCTAATAATAATTGGCAGTAGCATTTGGGGGAAGTGTAAGCCTAATAAGGGTAAGATAAAGATAATGATGGTGGTATGACATGATGATGCTTGGGATGACGTACGATATAAATGGAACCGTCCCGTCTTCTAAATGTTTTGTCCCTTTGCTTGAAGGCCTGTCACAGCATAGCATGCCTTTGCTTAATTACTCTACACATTGGGCATTGGCTGTTTTGATTATCCACGTGGCTTTACAGCTCATGATCATTTGACTCTTCTTTGTTGCCCATAAACGGTGAAATCTTTATGTCCCGTCTTACTATAATTTTTATCATAGGTTCAAGTATAAAACGCACCTTTGATCCGATGAAAGTCTTCTAATAAGAATAAAGTTTAAAGGGTTTCTCTATTGGACTCTTGGGGGTTTTTTTTAAGTGGGCCTTTGCTCATTGCCTTTTTTTTTTCCTTTTTGGACTAAAATGTGTAAATGATAAAGCAGAAGATTTTGTAGGTTGATTAGTGGCATGATAAACTTTGTTAGTACTACGCTGGCTGGATCATAGAAGCTATGAAAATTCATTGGTGTTTCGAAAAGGTGATGCTTTTATGGAGTCGTTGAGGTAGAAGCAAATGTGGAATTATCAAGTCAACTATCACAGTGATTATGGAATAAACAAAATTTGAAGTGCCCCAAATCTCGCCCTTTCTATATTGATAAGTATATAATATAATTTCCATGATGAGATTACTTTGCGCTCATCCCTTTTTACAACCCATCCTCTCCTTCGGCGGTTCATTTTTGGTTATAATACAACGTGAACAATGCCCTCATTTTGCCCATCATCTCAAATTAAGTAGCAAATTCAACTTAAGGTTCTGTGGCACCACATCAATTAATCAAACATTCATTTCTTAAATAAAAATACAAAGAAACAGTGAATTTTTGTCACCACAAATCATGATCTTGTAAATTTTAAATAGGAAAGAAGAACAATCTAAGCTGCCCAATTCTCGAATTGAATGTATTCACTGCTAACATGCATGTCACTGTCATACAATTCCCTCCAAGCAAGGCCTATCAAAACCCACACAAACCTTATCCAAGGAACAAAGTGTTTGTAATGCGTCGTAGAAGGTTTTAGGCAAAGAAGATTTACCGTTATCAGCTGAAAGGGCGTAAGTAGCTAAAGATTTGAACATCCATGACGGCCTTGAGCTGCCATTTTCATTTACAATCAATGACAGAGTTAGCCCTTCCTTCTCTCGCTCAGCGCAACCCTCTGAAAGCAATATCAAGGTAATGGTTCAAGACCTTTTCAAAAATTTGTCTGCTTAAACAGATCGAATAAAGGGGGGAAGGGGAAAATGATACAACTATTCATGGTAATAAGAACTTCTTCCTTCCCAATGTGGGGAAACAGGTTGTCATAAATAGAGCGGCAAAGGAAATAGGAAGGGCTGCAGCAATTGCAGTGACCAAAGCTAGAGGAATGCAGTGGATTCCTATTGTGTAGGGGAAGATGTAGGAAAGGTTCAAAGTTCTTCATTCCTTTCTTGCTCCATGCATTTTTACCCCCTCAATAATCTCTTGCCTGTAAAATCAACTTGAAAGAGTTTCATTTTCTAAATTGGGTGTACGATATGGAAGAGCCTCTAGAAATTCCCATAATGAATGATCTCACTATGGTTTTAGGTAATCTTAGGTAACATACTGATTCCAATATCTTTCTCATTTGATATAACACACATTTGATCTCATTGAAAAAAGACAGGTGATATTGTTGATTTTACAGAGCCTTCAGCAGTTTATGGCAACGTGAAACAGGTTCAGCATCTAAATACTACTATATTCTTTGATCAACTTACTTTTGCAGATTCAGTTCTAAAAGTTATACTTGAATAACTGATAATAGTTTATGTTTTCTACTTCTTATAGGCAACAGCATTTGATCTGAAAAGTGTGGTTTATGTACATCGAATTAAGCTTGACACAATAAAAGGATTGTCTGCATTTTGCGAGAAAGCCAGAATGGTGAGGACAGGATGAGATATATTTCAATGTCTACTTAATTTCCAAAAAACTTCATAGTACTATACTTAGAACAGTTGTGCCTATTGTTGTTACACCGTTATATCTCCATCAACTTGTTGCAATTCTAATGAAATATTTCAAGGTTGCCTAGTTGCACTAACTCTGTCCATAGGATCCATTCTCCTCCAGCAAGCTGCCATTTCAGCTTCCTTCCACTACAACAATGTAGAAATTGTCGAATCAGGAGCACTTGCAACAGTAAGACACAAGTTATATTAGGGGTTTTATATTTTCTATGGATTTGATTATAAATGTTTGAGATGCAGTTGTCATAGCAGTCATCCAAAGTTAAATGAAATAAAAAGGCTTCTATTGAATGTGTGGTGCAATAAAGTATATGCATGTAATTTTTCATGTATCCTTTGACAACTATCCAAGTCTACATAACTCCAAGATAACTGTAACTTGTAGATGATCTGATGAGATGCTAAACTTGTCATCGAGAACAGGATCTTCCCTCACCAGATGTCGTCCAGATTGCCAACAACCTCTCAAACCTTGGTCAGATTAACAACAAAGAAGACATTTCAACAGATGTTTTGGTAAGCATATATACAGAAAATGATGTTAGAGCAATTTTGGTGTCAAAAATTGAATTAGCTTTCTATTATCATCCTTTTCTATCTACTTGGCAACAATTAGAGAGTAGGGAAAGACGTAATAGTGTTAAAGCTGAACAATGAAGAAAAAGAAACCTTAAACTTAAGTCTTTGGCATCTATCTTGTCAGATATAACATTTGAGTAACCGCCACATACAGCTAACAATAAAGCATAGGAAAATTCATCACATTGATTATCTGAGTTGTACTGATTGGTTTCATACCAGAAAGAACTAGAGAGATAGAGAGACAGATTTTCATTTATGAGGATTGGTGTTGACAAAAAGAATCAACAAAAGCACATATAATGTAAAACTTTCAATCCTGTCTTAGGATTCATGATAAGGTGGCTCATTTTTCTTTTTTTTCCCCTTTGTAAGCCAAGGGATCAAGTCCTAGGTGAAGATGGGGTGCGTGTTCATAGCATGGTCCTTCCTGGTCTTCCATCTAGTACAACAGGTCTTCCATCTAGTACAACAGTTTACTTCTCTGGCCCACAAAAGGTATTCTCTCTGCAATAGTCTCTCCCGTATTATTAATTTTATTAAGCAGCACTAGCTAGGATAGTTTATTTGTTACAACTCTAATCCACAAGTGCTTCCCTACAGGACACAGTTCTACATCATCAAACATGATATCACAGATGTGCGGTGCCTCATGCCAGGCTTACTCTTGGCTATTAGAAAGGTTGTCCGACTCATGGTAAATGATTGCATTGCAGAATACATATGATATCTTTCTTCAAGCATTTTGTTCAGCACATCACAAAAGTAAACTTACTCATGTAGTCTTTGCTATTTTGGCAGCATCTGGTGTATGGCCTGAAGAAATTTCTGTAGAATCCCATTATTCTTCAAGTTCCTTGGTGTATAACTTAGATCTTTGGCAAATCCAGTGGAGAATTGTTTTCATCCTGCAAACAAATATTTTACGAAAGGAGTGGATTTACTTCTGACAGATGCATATAAAACGGAAGCTATGTTAAAATGGAGGGAAAACAAAATTGTCATGCATTTACTTTTCTTTTAGATAAAATCATTGTAATTTGACCAATACTTAAGAGAGTTCAAAATTTCGGGATGCTTACTTCAAAATTGAGGCATGAAAGCAGTTTAGTCAAGGTACTATATATAGATGTCACACCAATTTTCTCATATGCTTAGATTCATCTTACTCCCTTGAAGTCTAAGGAAAAGAAAAACAGCTCAACTTTTGTTGTACCAAGTCATTCTAGCAATCAAACAGCAAATTTAATACCATAATTTTGCTTCATCTGAAAAGAACCATAATTTTGAGAAAGGAATGCTCTACAATAGAATGATTCAATATAAAATAATTCAACATACTCCCCTGTTCGATAATCAGTCTTATGTTGTGCCTTCTCCAGCCACATTTATCAAGACATGACTTGTATCTTGTTATAAAACCTCAGAAGAGATATAGAGCTGATTTCCTATTCTTAAATTAATTGTTTTTCTCAATTTCTTAAATTCATGAATAGTATGTTTCCCTCTGCTCAGGAAAAGATGCGTATTTTTGCTATCATAAATCTTAGCCCATAGTTTCTTAAATTTGAGATTGCATACAGAAACCCAAAAATTTCAATTGATGGAACCATCAATTATGGAGAAAAAAAAAAGGATATAAGATGATTAATTGTGGAGAAAAAAGGATTTTACGTTCCAAGTAAGACAGTTCCATAGGCACAATAACAATTTATTTACAGTTGCAATACCAAAAAGTAGGCAAATTATCATTGCTTGTAACAACTTACTGCTAAATTCATTGTTGGACAAAACAATGATCATACAAATCCTTAAGGAAAATGATACAACCGACATTTCAGTTTCTTGCAAATGAAGTTAATATTTGATACATCTTTGAGAATTCTTTAGGACTACATGACATTACTTCTAAATACATGGGAAAGGTTAAAGGACAGGTGCCTCTACATAGTCATGCAATTTGACAAACTTCATTCAAGTTTCTGCAGCATCTGGATGCAACAAGCAAGGGCTTCCATGTAAGATTTACAGCTCAAAGAATGTAATAAATGTGCTTAAAGAATGTAATAAAAGTGTCAAGTTCTTTGCTCATCTTGCATTGGTATATGGTTAGGATCTATTTAATCAGAATACACAAAACAAATTGAGAACTCTTTGTATTATGAAAAAATTTGATACTGCAATTACTAAACAAAGACTTCTACCATATTAAAAGCCAGCAATCTATTGGTAACTAGAAGCAACAGCAGTTTTTTGTTCTCAGAAGAGTACATGCAAGAAAAGATAAAAAAAAAAGGTTGGCACTCTTTTGGAGGCATCAAACTTGACAATCATCAAGTCAAAATGAAACAGAAATATTGACGCTTTTTATAAACTGAAAAAATGGACCAGCAAGAACAGACAGTGGCAAAAAAAGAAAAAACCCCAGTGAGAAGTTGAAAACAGAGTTCACAAAGACAAGTAAAGCAAATTAACAGAATGAAGGTAAGTTATATACACACTCTTAGTTCTTACTTCTAAGTTTGTTTGAAACTGCCCTTATCCAGGCTCTATCTTTCTCACTATATGCATATTTCATGCCTGAAGCCAACAGCACAAAACCTTCAATGTTGGTGCTTAGGTTTGGATCTAGTAGCACTGGTTGTACCAAGACAGAACGGGTCCCCTGAGGAAGTATCTTCCAGAAATCAGCATCTGAAATAATGATTAAATCTTTGCATTAGACCCAGAGCGAACAGTTTAAAGAACCATAACTGAAAAGGAAAATGTTGCACTCACATATTAGCACTAATTCAAATTTCAGCACCTAGGCAGACACCATCTATATTATAAGTTTTTAGATTCTCCTACTTCACCAACATATGTTCACTTCAAAAAAGGTAATGACCAGGATCGCTTTACATTATTTTCCCATTCCATTAGGTAAGCACCCAAAGATAGTTTGGGAGAAAGAGCAAAAGAGCAAACAAGAGTTACAGTGTCAAGGTCAGCCAATGGGAGTTGAACCAAAGTATATAGCATCACCAAAACCACAATTTATCAGCAAGAATAACTGTCATCATGAGGCTTCCTAGTCTTGGTGGGTCCAATGAAACAAAAAAGCAAGAAACCAGGCATAGCCACAGAGATCAATAATGTAGTTCCTAGTCTTAAGATGTTCTTAGAAGCTAATTATTCGTCATTTCAAATATCACACACATTGAGTAAGATTACTTCTCTTTAACACAAAAGTTAACAAAATTTATTTACCTGCGGTTTGAGGGAAATAGAGGGTGTCTGTCAAATCACAGAGACCAGTTTCTTCTATATTATTTTTAAACCAATCAAGTATATTATCTTTTAATACACCATCTGGTACATTCCAATATCCGCGTATGCATAATTCACCTCGCATTAATATCAACTACAAAATTGGAGATGATAAAACACCAAAAATAAAATTGTCAATAGAAAAGCAGTTATAAATTCCCAAAAAGAGTTTTTTTTTTTTTTTTTTTTTTTTTTTTTTGTGTAGTGGGAATTTTTACCACAGCGGTGGTGTTGGTATTTCGTAATAAAACATATGTTGCCCAAGCCAAATTCTCCTTCTGAGCAACCGACACATTTTGTGACATAACAAAGATTTGCTCAGCACCTTCTGGCAGAGTCATTTGATCCATTCGAGTTGCACCCTATGAATCATGTTACTACAAACGTTAAGTCCAAATTTGACTTCAAAATTGAACAAAAAATTTAAAAAAAAAAATAATTACCTTGAGAAATTTACCTAGGTAAGGAAGTATAACGGAAAATGCAGCCAATGAAATACCTAAAGCCTCCGTTCTCTACACCAAAAACAACAGTGAAAATTTTAAACCGACAATTATAAGAAAAATGGAGAAGGCAAAAATTACCAGCTGCGCAGCGGTGACGGAGTCGGATCCAAGCAAGTGGTTCAATACAAGAAGGGAGCCGAACCCGTATCCAATCCATCTGGGTAAATAGGATTCGTTCAATCCAGGTATACCCAGAGTGAACCTAAGAACAGAGAGATTCAGTTGTTGCTGGGAATTGTCCAGACGAGCGGAGATTGATGCGATTTTGGGGCGAAATTTGACAGTGAGAGGGGTTTTCAACTGAATTAACGGATTTAAAAGCAGGGTTTTAGACGTTGTTATTATCATTCTTTTAGATAATTGAATTGATTTGTTAGGGATTTTTTTTTACGAACAAAAAAGCAAGTATGCAAGATTGTCCCAAACTATTGGGCTGATAGGTATGGGCCAATGTTTTAATACCAAAATCGGTCTTTGAACCGGATCACAGGATTTTGAATCGGCCGGTTCAATTGACTGGAATATTTATTATTTTGATTTTAAGTTTAATATTAAGTAAGTATTAAATATCGTAAATATATACAACAAAGAATGATTAAGGTTTTAATTAAACAATAAATGGTTAAAAGTTCAAAGTTTATCATTTATAAAATTAATTTAAAAAATATCAATTTTAAAATAATAAATTAAGTTCAAATTCAATTTGATTTCTATCTTAATCTACTATAATACATTTGATTATGTGTTGATTTTGAATATAATCACATAAGTCATTGATTTTCGGTTTAATGCATTCGATTTTGATAATATTAGTTTGGATATGGATTCGAAATTTCATTTTAATATTTGGGTTGTAACATGTAATTTTTTTTATTATGATAAAATATTTATAAGTTGGATTGAAATATTATTATATTTTATTTATTTATTGGTATTTTAATTATACCTTATGGGTTGAAAAAAAAAACTTTATGGATATGTGATATTCTTTTATGTTTATTGGTAGAGTTTAAAATTTCCATTAAGAATGAATGGGATGAGTTTTTGTTACTTTTTTAATATTTTTGATACTTGATAAGTTATATGAAAAAATTATAATCATTTTATCTATAGTGGAGTTTTTACCCAACAGACAAAACATATTCTATTATGATATATTTACAAGGTTAATAAATTAATATGATAAATAAAAGAATATATGATAATATTAAATCATGTTTATAAAATTTAAAAATTCTCATTACATAAAACAATAATTTTAATAGTACATTTAAATAAGGAAGAATTCATTTGCATCGGTTGAAAGTAAATTTATTGGTAGTCCACATGTTTTATAGAGGTATCATTTTTCACATATAACCTAAAAAATTACACTTACGATCGATAAAAATTTTTAAAAGTTTCACCGTTCATCCTTCATTTAATCAACAATCAAGCAACTAACACAAATGCTTATGCAAATGCCACTTACTTCACGCATGATAGTTGATGCACACACTATGACATGTGAGATAGGACAGGAGAGAAATCTCATCCAATTTGCCCACGTGGACTGATTGACTATACTTCCTGACAGGTTGTGTATTGTCTAAAGTTACTACACATGTCGGTGGGTCATGCCCGTGCATTTATTAGGCCACATTAATTTTTTTTTATGAAAAATTCAAAATAAATAAATTATTTGATCTTATAACCGGAGAAGGTAAAAATACCCCAAATCGATGGATTCAATTCGATTCAATTTTTATTATCGATTCTTTTTTTTTAAATGGGTATAAGATCAAGTAGGATCAGGTGACATAAAAAAAATTATGAGTTCGAGTTTGAGTCAGATTTTAGATAAACTCGACCCGATTCGTTATATATAAAAAAATATTTTTTATTTTATATTTAATTATATATTTATATTAAAAATAATATTTTATTAATTTCGAATCGATCGATCGAATTCGATTTTATACAATATCAATTCGGATCGATTTCGGTATTAAAAAAATAAAAAATTATCAAATCAGATATAAATACGAATTTTATATATTTAAAATCGGGTCGAGATGAACAAAAACTTACCTTGATCTGATTCGTTGCCATCACTACTTCTAAATCAAAAAATATATATATAATACATGATAATTTAAAATAAATAATTACAAATAATATATTCAAAATAATTTCAATAAATAATTATCGATAAAATTAAAATTCAAAACTTTTTCATAAAAAAAATAAATTTTAATAATTAAACACATTAATTTTATTGTTTTGGTAAAATATCTAATTTACATTTACATTATTTTGTTATACAAGTTACATTTTGTTAATCTAACAATTGAATTGTATGCTCTATTCATATAAATTATATATGTTAAATTTTAAGTTAAATGAAAATGTTTAATTATTTATTTAATAATAATAAAATCTCAATTTTTTTCAAAAGATGAAATTTTAATGATTAATATATTAAAAAATATTATTTTCAATCAACAACATATCGGATCCACTCAAATCTTTGCACGCGTTAGAGTACCATTGTTAAGTCTTACAGTGAGTTTGTGAAAATGTAAACTTAAAAAATGTAAAACAATTCGTTTTACACTAATATAAATAAATCCTCCTCAGTCCGGTATTTGTACTACTGGTTTTTCTATTTTTGGGCGCAATGAGTTCTTCCGTTATTTGGGCTACGCTTATGCTTTGGGTTTGTGGGGGCCACAGGGTAGGAAATGATCCATAAAAGATACATATGTTTCACATTTCGTAAATGATATTTTTCAATGGATTGGTAAGTCTCGAAATTCACACTGGTCTTGCCTAATCTTCTAAAACGAAATTTTCAAACAAAAAGAAGTAGAGATTAAACATGTGTGCATGGCATAATAACATTGAATCATTGGTCTCGATTATAGTTGTTGATGCCCAAATTTATCTTGGTATTTTGGTAACATTCAAAAACAAGATCACAAAGAAAGAAATTATTTAGTATTTCATGTTGATATATTGTTTGAAATTGCATTGTTGTGTTAGAAGAAGGATAATATTTTGATTCGATATATTCTAAAAATATCTTTAGTACGATTTTGAAGATCTCATAAAAATTGAATTTTAGTAAATTTTCATTTAGTGATCTCATTTTTCAAAAGTCGATTTTTACAAAAATATCTGAAACTCAACATATTTGAAATTACAATTTTTTTTTTTTGTTTTGCTAATATTTTATCAATATTTACACTAAATCATTCATAATATTACTACTCATTGCACGTTGTTATTCATTGAAATTAGTATCTAAGCGCGCATGTTAACACTTAATTCAATGTTTACTTAATAGATTGAGAGATAAAATGAATTAATGAGTAAAAAGTGTCGAGAAAAATGCTCTTGACCTTTGCGGAATCGCATTTAAAATAAGAGGATTACTAAAATACCCTTAGGATAATTTACGGTGTAGCAATAATAATTCTTTAGATTAATTGTAATCAATTAATGCTTGACAATATTGAAAGATTCGAATATTTGCTTGGAGCAACAAATTATCTTATACACAGTATTTTGGTTTAACATAAACTTTATTAAATCTGTAAAATGACTGAAAGCATAAGCAAAAAGTGGGGTCCTCATTAAATTACAATTTGTAAGAAATCAATAGAAAAAATTCGAATATAAAGTCATAAACAATGTATGTGTATCCATGTTCACATAATTTATTAGCCGTGACAAATACATGTGACGCTATCTTTGCTCCTTGATACAGAAAGCATCAACCAATTATTTTATAATTATAAAATTTTCAATATATTTAAACAATTAAAAATGCATCATTAAGCATGTTAAACAAAATCCTAATTATGATTAAATAATAAACACATAAATTAAAATATTTTTATTTTATTTTTTTATAATAAAAAATTTAAAATAGACAAATTATTTAATATTTTAAATCATAATAAAATATATTCTATATGATAATTTAAGATCAATAATTATAAATTATAAAAATAAATTATTATAAATTATACATTTAGAATAATTTTAATAAATAATTATTGATAAAACTTAAATCTAAAATTTATTGGTTAAAAAAAAAAACCAATTAAAACAATCTCTGTATTTTTATTTTTATTTTCTACTTTACTCTTCCAAAACCACACGGGCCTTGTTTCCATTGTGAGTGGCCTTTACACGTGGCACAATCAAGATCTATCCCTATCCTTACTCCCTTGGTAAAATCCCTAGGTCACATCCTGTACTCCCAAATGTCAAAACAACCACTTCTCCACCCAATCAAATGATTGCCACGTCATCTTTTCTCATCTGAATCGATAACGTGGAAACATCTTGTTAAACAAAATCTCTATCTAACCGTCAAATTGTAGCGGATCATTTCCCCAGAGAGACCTAGCTAAAATAGAATCATCCTCACGACCTATCATAGGCAGCCAGGAGATAACGAATGATATCTGGCCACGTCGGCCGCACGCTCGCGTCGCCACTGCACCATCTAACACCGACTTCGTTGGGCTGTTATTGCGGAGACACGTGTCCTTCATATCAATCGATTCATTCGGTGACATAGGGCAAAATTACCGGTGCAGCCGGTAACTCCCTCTCTGCCATTCCCGCTAGTTATATAAGGAGCCTCCTTGAAAACTCTCTCTCTCTACCAAATTTTTTCAGTTTTCCAAATTAAGTTATAAAAGAAGAAAAAAAAAAAAAAAAAAAAAACAGAAAAAAGTAACGTATGCTCTTGTATTTTTTCTTTTCTTTTCCAGCTCACGATTTTGAGGTTAGTAGCTTCTCTTTCTTTTTTCTTAATCAGTAATTTATTTTCTTTAAATTTTTGTTTAATCCTTTTTATTTACTTAAAGTAGTTTAATCTTTTAGTTAGCTCGAATCTGCTTTGATCGATCTCTAAAACCCGGAAAGTTTATTGTTTTTCCTGGGAAATTTTGTTTTATTTTGAAGTGATTCCTGCTTGCTATTTCTTGATCTTCTTGTTTAACTCGCTATTAAGTCTTTAATTAAGGTTAATCTGTTGGTCCTGTTTGGGCTTTCATTTTTCTAATTCGAGTTCGGTTACACTGTACGATTTCAACGTGTGAGATCAATTTGGGACTAAAATTTGATTAGTAGTTCGTTTCGAGTGGTAGAGTGGTTTGATCGCTGATATGTGCTTCTAAAGTGAAAGTGTTTTAGGTTTTGAAATATTCTAGTTATACATTCTTGGTTTAGTGAGTTGGGTCCAAAATTAGGGTTTTTTTTTTTTTTTTTTTGTGTGTGGGTGGGGGGACAATTAAGGAAGTTTGTTTCTTTAAATTTTGGGGATTAATCTAGGAAATATTTTAAGGCTTTTTTCTCAGTGTTTCGAGTCTTGATTGATTTAGCTGAGTGGAATACTGTTTGAAAAGTTGTAACTTTGTTCTCTTGAAGCACGCACAATTGGAATTCTAATTTTTGTTATCTTTTTTTTAATTATACATTGTTTTTAGATCTCTGCAACAAATTGTTGAGGGCGTATTTA